GTCCTCTGAAGAGACTCCGACGTTCCATTGGCTCGATAATTCGATCGACGATAGGTCGACGAAATAGCGCGAACCAGAAGCAGACGAAAAGTCGTCGCCACCGGACGATACCAACGGCGAGATAAAAGCGAATCTCCGCTCGTCCGATTTTAGTCCCGATCCTATTAAGGATCTCCGTTCTTTCTCCCCGTTTCCACGTGCTTTTCCCTCCCGTCCGTATTTCCGATTCTTCGCCCGGCATTCCGGTTAGGGTATTCCGAATGCGAGCCGCAATGCATTTCGCGTGTACGAGGAAACGTAACCAATGGAACACGGACGTCCTATATTATTACGATCCGACGAGTTTGCACCCTATACGGCCGCGGCAACCAATTCCAATTCCCTGCTCAGACCAACGTGACGGCCGGCAAATAATTTACGAATAATGAGGACGCTACGTGGAACCTAGCCAGATCTCTCTCTCCTTCTCTCTCGCTCTTTATCGTTGTTCACGCGTAGGTGGGTGCGCGATACGTAGTTAACCGACAGATTGTGAACGCACCGGGCCCGAACGTGATCAACCGTGAAATGCGCTTATAAATTATTCCACGCTTAGCTTCCAGACGAAATCGGATACGTCGATACCCGCACTCGCGCGTTTTACCAGACCATCCTCGTCGCGATCAGCAACATCTTGTCGCGTCGGTACTCGCGGAAAATGGCCAAGGATCGCGTTGCGTCCCGTAACGCGACACGTCCGCTACTCGCGTGGAGTCGCGCGGAATCGCGACTGTCGAACGGCGTCGCCGATGCGCCGCATCCCTGTTGCATTTTCGGAAACTCCGCGCGACGTCTGTCGATTCGCAGCCGCGTTCCCGCGTCGGACAAGATATCCTTTTCTTTCGCCTCGGAGTTTTTAAAATGTCCATCACCGTCGTTCCGGCCGATTTAACGCGAAAAACCAGAATTCTATCTGACACCGTCGGTGGAACGCCGGAAAAACGTTGCGGTGTCGCGATGCGGAAGCCAGCGTTTGCATACGCGCTCGTTTTACGGCACCGTTCCCTGCCTTATACACCGACAATAAAATCTAACGTCACGGAAGAATAAAAGCTTATTATCCGGAAAAGTATGCTCGCATTGTTTTTACGCGCGACCCTAAGGGCTAACACCGGCGGAGTGTCGGCACGTAGATAACGTCGTCTACGGGGTAACGGTCTACCCGAGTTCCCTCGTCGTATAAACGCACGCGTTCGCGAGCTAGCGAGACGATACGGTGTACCGAGGACATTCGTCAGACGAAGAAACCGTGGTCCTCTTACACCGCGCGAGCGAAGGAGCTGCCACGCAATACCGCGTCGAAGCAAGCGAGAGAATCTTATTAGAAACTCCTACCAGCTTAGTATCGATTCCGCATCAATTTGCATTGTTCAAGACGATCCGGGGGAAACTATTCGCCGCTTGGTCGCTGTTACCTGCTTTCTAGCGGTCTAGGATAGAGAGGAAACGAGAGAGCCTGGTGGCGAAACAGACAGGGACAGAGCGAGACTACGGCGAGGAACGAGAGAGAGAGAGAGAGAGACGAAGATTCCGTGAGTTAGAACACTCCTTCTTGGCGGAGGTGGCGGAGGAGGAGATGGAGGAAGGGGTGAGCGGAAGGGTTGTCAATACCATCCATTACTGTCACGACGCCTTTATTACTATCGTCGTTCCGTTGCTTTCCATACGGTCGAAGGGTTTCCCAAGCACCGTCCCGACGCGGCTTACTCTTGGCAAGACAACTAGCTCTCCGAGAGAGAGAGACCACCCGACCACTTTGTCTCGACAGATACGCGTACGTATAATCGGATATGAAAGATTTCGTTCGTAGCAGAAGTTCGACGTCGACAGAATTTCTGGCGGTTTCCCGACCCCCGGCAGATGGGGGAGCCAGCAATGAGCGAAGATATCGTCGACGAGCGGCAATCTCGGAAATCTGGGTCGAGTCGCGAAACGGACCAACTTCTCGAGTTTCGTGGACGAAAGATAGCGGACGATTCGATCGAAAATCGTCGCGATCCCGTGCGTCCGTACGGATAACGCGTTCAGCCCGAAACAGCGCGTTCTCGCGCGACCATATTTCGGGACACGGTGAACCGCGCTCGGCGGAGCGCGCGAAAATATAATAAAAACAGAAGGGAATTCGCGTGTAGCGCGTCGAATACCGGGATACGTAAAAATTTCAACGAGGATCCCAGAGTCGAGAGCGGACAAAAACTGGTCGCGACACTTGAGGCCGGCTGCGAGATAACCACCATCGCGCGCGGACAAAAGTAAGAGAGAACAGCTTTTTAAATATTATCATAAGCTCGCGACGTCGACGCGAGTGTGTGGACGTTGTCGCGCGGATGAAACTGGCGAAAGACGCGGATCGTTCGATCACCGGTCGCGAACGTGCAGGGGGGAAATAGTCGCGCCTATGGATGGCGCAAGAGAGGTACCGGAACGGAGGGGAGAGCATCGTTGCATGCAGATTTCGTGGATGATCCGTGGCAGACAGGGGCCAAAGTGGCCGAGTCACTTTTGGTCGGCAGGCAATAACCAGGCGAGAGCAATATAAGAGCACGCGAGCGACTTGTACAAAGTGAAGAGCATATTTATTGCAGGTCATAGTGGGCCAGCCTGTGACGGTGCCCTCAGAGACGACAGGTCTCACGAGGGGCATGATATATATTTTCGGCGGCGCACACGACCACGGCCTATCTCGCGGAAATGCCATTTTCGAGACTCGACGTTCCCGGAAAGCAATAATACCGAAAGCAGTTTTAATAAAGGCTCAGCCACGATATATCGTGGCTATGCCCCACACCCCACCTGTCCGACCCCTCTGTACATTGCCATCGCGTCCTATCGTCCATTCTTCCACCCTCTCGTCCCTTCCTCGTGCCTCCCTCTTTCATCGCGAACGACCGTACCGTACACGAGCACACCCGCCGTCCTATACGTCGATTCCCGAATTTTTTTCCGTGATTCCTCCTCTCCCGTGCTCCTCTATCACCCATCCCTGTCCCCGGCCTCGGACCGCGATATTTTACCCGGGCCTCGTTTCGTTACTTTTTAACGATGCTCATTTTATCGCGTAATTCGTTTCAATTTATACCTACTACTCGAACGTTGCCGTAATAACGCAAAAATCGCGCGAGGAAAAACGGGGATGAAGGATCAGCGTTTCCTGCCTGTCACTCCGTCGAGTCTCGTCTCTGGTTCTCGTCGCGCTCGGGCGTCAGGATCGTCTGCATGAAGCGTGCGGACGAAAAAGAAAAAAAGGAAAAAATTAATCCCCGGAAAGTCAGGCTGGGAGAAAGGATACGCAAGAAAGCCGGGAGATTAAACCGGAAGATATATTGCGTATCCCGCGCCATAAACAGACTGACGAGACGTACGCGCGATAGGATTGGCCGGGTGAAATGCTTTCTCTCGAATTACCTCCAGCCTCTGACCTGCCCGATGATAATTCCGGCCATTTTCTCGCGCAGCGACGAATACGTCCTCCGTTGTAACGCGTTCCTCGAAATTTTTCATCTGCCTTGATGGAATAATCTAGCGGCAAACGCGAGTGTCGCGTCGCGTTGAAATCCCGAAAGATGCAACGATACGCTCGGCAAAAAGATTCGCCGGGGGAAAGGAGTCACTCGGGATCTAGCTCGCCTATCTCCCGAGCATCGGGACGATCGAGTCCCGACGCGGTACCTTCCTGTCCGTGATCCTTAATTTCCTGTGCGCCAACTTATTTGTATACGCGATCGACTTGGCCGCACTCCATTCGAGGAAAGAAGGGAGTCGCTTTTCCGGCGAAACGCCGATGACACCGGTCATGCCTGGCCGCCATCGCGGCACATCTTAGCCGACACCAGCAACGACGAATCTAAATTGGAATCTGTTCGGGGTAGCGCTCCGGCAGCGAAGCGACTGAAAATCGCGCAGAGTCGACTAACATCTACACCGGGGCTCGAAAACCGTTCCAACGTCGTTTCCGGTTTTCGAAAATGTTCGTATCGAGGTAGAAATTAAGAGAGATCAAGCTAATTAACCCCATGCCCCACGATTTAACCTCCAACTGGTGACGTGACCAAATTCACACCTTATTTTAGCGACGCGTGACAAATTATTGTATCTATACTAAAGTGAGAAATAAATTTCACTCCGATTACTAATAAAAATCCACTTCCTATTTGCAAACTATCGTAGTAGAATTAATTTCATAAAATCGCATAGGAAATACTACACGTGCTGCGGCAAGAACGCACGTCACCGATTGAAGGTTAAGTTCAACGTGACGCGTGCCATAAGCGACAACAGAGTCGGTCACGCGGCCAGCCATTTCGAGAATAACAAGTAACGAGGGAGAAAGACATCGGCAGAAACTAACCACGTGTCTGACTAATGAAAACAATCGTTAAACGTTGCAGAAGCACGTCTAAATTACTATTTGTGGCGACCTCGAAAGACCGAGAGCGTTCGATGCCCGGTCATGAACCGTGCAGGGCCACGTGTCGCGAATCACGGTTCTAGAAAGATCAGAACCAGCGACAGCGTTCCGTGACGCGTACCCGCAACAAGGGAAAAGGACAATCGAACACACACATGCCACGACCCGGGTGCACGTGTCGCGAATCAAGGTTCTAGAAGGATCAGAATCGTCGAGAACGTTCCGCGACGCGGGCCCCCTGCGAAGACAAAAGACAATCGGAAACTCGCATATAAAAAGTGATCACACATGAGTGATCACGTCGGACCTCGATAAATGATCATACTAGACCAATTAACGCTCCCAAGCTATTTTTCTAGCTATGTAAATTACTGGGTTCCTCGACAACGCAAACGAGCGGGTACCTTCTTTGTGTCCAACGAAAACCCCCCAACCGATTCCTCAACTATTTGTTGAGTGGTCCCGAACTACTTTATCACTCCCCCCTACCCCCCACTAAATTATTCTTATAACAATAAAAAAATTGTAAGGATTTAAAATAAATATTACTCACCGAACTCTCGTTGAACTCCAGCTGCGTCGAAGTCCCGATGGCACGTGGCACGATCAACACAAACCCGGTCACACGTCCGAACGCGGCGAAGAACAACACGCAACTGCGAACAGGAAAACGTTTGCGAAAATTATCCACGAGCCTGCTCGAGCGTGCCGATGTTTACACGTTGAGCCCTACAAACCATGCCTCTGGCTACGCATGTTTGACTAGATCTTCTTACCTCGAGTCGCCCGCAACATTGTAGACGAGGGTTCTAGAAGCCTAACTTCCGCTTTTCGCTCAATGGATCACGATCATCGATATAATTGGACAATGAACGGTGGAAAACTGTTATAATATCGATCTCGGTTCGTCGAAACTGTATCAAAGGGCCGTTATTTTTTACGACGGTCATAAAGAACAGAGACCCATAGGAGTTGGATTTTTGTTACGGATCCAGTAGCATTTGATACATTTGTTTCATGGTTTATTTCGGTTCTGTATCGGTTACCGTAGCCAAAATGGGTGCAATTCGACATTTGTGTTTCGAAAGCTGCTGGAACCGATACAGGTAAACATTTTTCCTGCGTACGCGTTGAAAGGGAAAGCACTACGCGATGACCATTACGGGTTATTTTGAAAATCGTATCAACGCTGGTATACAGACTCGATGGGAAACAAAAGTTAGCCCGTGTGCCGAAACTCTTGGACGACCGGAAAAACACGATGGAATGATCGCCGCTGGCTTTGACGAGACGAGAAGACGAAGACGAACGGGGATGGAATATTTTCGCGAGCACGTCGCTCATGCGTGCTCCGGCCGTCGAAATCCGCGTGATTTATGAGGATGACAACGCACCGATGGTCCGGCAAATATCGATTTTTCGATATTCCCGATGTTCGGCTTCGCGCGAAATATCGGAAGGATACGCGCCACTCGGTCTGGCTGGTCCGCTCGGAATTATCATACGTCGAACGATTCCTAAATTAATTCTGTTTCGCTGCGAGCGGCCATCGGCGAACGAATCGTCGGGAAATTCTCACGGTCGAGTTTCCGCGAGCCACGGATCGTCGCATCGGTTGGCGCAATTTTTCGGCAACCAATCGGAATTGGCGCGATAAGGAACGCGACGCGACGGAACCGTTCCGGCAATTTCGCCGGGACACACGCGGTGAAAAACTTTCGCCGGGGTGAGCGCAGCGCCGAAGAAAGTAAGCTTTCCGACTGTTCCGTAATGAAAGCGACGTCCCCCGCTGGTTCCCGCATAACGATTCTTATTTAAAGGACTGCGGGAACAGCGACGCGCTCTAACGTCGCAACGTATTTACGCTCTAGACGCAGCTGCAGCGACCACGGCGCGCCACCAACAAGTGTTTTATAATGCAGATTAGCCAGGCCACTCCGGCAGCGGCCGCGTCCGCGCCCCTATCGCGATAAGACCCTCAGCGACTATCTTTGCCCGAGGATGCTGTCTGACGTTGGAATTAACCGTTCGTGCCCTTAATTTTTAAAGTTATTTTATCGACAAAGTAAAATGCCCGGCCTCCGCGTTCTCCGCGACTCTTAGCCCGCCTCCTTCGTTATTTTCTTTCCACCCACCCCTCGTTACCCGCCCCCCGTGCTCCTGTACTTTCCTAGCGGCAGGACGAGCAAATCTTTTTCAATCTCTTTTGAATCCTTTACGAGCACGGTGAGATTGGAGAATAAGAGATCAGGGTGGCCGTGGGGAGGGGCTGGGGTCGAAGAGAAAGATGAGAATGAGGTAAATCTCGCAAAGAACGGCGGAGGGTGAGGGGTCATGGGACGGCGTGCAAGGAGAGAGAGGAGAAACGCTGGCGGGGAAAAAGGGTGGGGAAAAAAAAGGGAAAAGCGGCAGGAAGCGGTGGCGGTAGGTATGGGATTCGGAACCTTCTTCCCGTGTTTTTTCTCCCTTTCTTTTCCAGAGCATCGATAATCCCTCCGCGTAAATCCTTAAACGCGTCATAATGGACTTTGCTCGGTTATTATCGACTCCGGCTTCTACTGTCGCCGGAATTCGCCGCATTTCCCTAACCATACCACGGTCCGTTAGTCGGTCCTCGAGCAGCGAAGCTGCAGGAACGGAAGATCGACAAAGCAACGTGGCGGAGGAAAGGGTGAAACACTGCCAGGAAGAGGGGCGAGGAGGTTGCGGAGGTTGCGGAGGGCGCGGAGAGCGAGGAGGGCGAGGAGAGCGAGAGACTAGACGGCGAGGTCACACCTAGAAGTCGAACTTGAGCAGGACGATTTAGTTGTGACTGGAGAGGAGAGTGCGAGAGAGCGATAAGTGCTCTTCAGTGTTAAATCCACAGGGATGGCGCGGTATATAGGAGGCGGAGGATGATGCGGGGATGAAATCCGCTCGCAGGTGTTAAAATATTCGTTGTGCCAGGAAGCACGGTCTCGCTCGCTATCGGATGCTGAAGCAACACACTCGAAAATACTTTCACGCTTGATCGCTTTTCCTGCCGCACAGGCAGAATGAAAGTCGCGACATTATACGGCAGCCGGCTCGTATCGCGGATCAAAACAGACCAGCGGGAAGAATATTTCCAACTAGATCCGGCAAATTTATGAAATCGACTGGTAGATTTTTTTCCGGTAATAACATTTCACCCGACGTACCGTACGGTCCATCGAGCTGTAATTTATCGACGGTATAATACGCGTACACGGGAACAACTATAAACGAAACAATCGGACGATGTGACGCGATACGTGGCGTATAAACGGGGGAAAAATAAAATTCTAAATTGGACGGGAAAATCAACGATCGAGTCGAAACGTCGGTTGAACAATTCCGCGAGATTAAAAGAGTTCGAATCGCCGTGTCGAGTGACATGGTTACAAAGCGCAAGATCGCCGCAGGGTACTCCAGGTTGTTACGGAAAAGTCCACGGATGTTCTAAAACGAGCAGAAACGCTCGAGGTCGATTTGCAACGCGGCGCAACTATCTGACAAGAAAAGAAAAAATTCTCGAGCAACGTCTCGCGACCATGTTCGAAGATCCGCGTTATCGTTCAAACGAGAAGAGATATTATTTATGCTGGAAAGCGTTATCCGTGCCGTTTTCGCATTCGTAAACGAGTTGTCCGTTAGCCACGCGACGTTGTCGCGAGACAACGACGTCTTTCAATCGCGAAAGTAGCAGCCGATGGTAGCGTATGGAAGAGGAGGCGACTCGCGACGCGGTGTTTCGAAGCGTTGTCGCGAACAATTTCGCAAACGAGAAACCGTTGTACGTTAAAAATATACAAGCATGGCAGGGCAAAGTAGTCAAAGTATAACAGCGATTCCCTTGCCTCGTTTCCTCGATATTATCGCAATTCCCCGTACCGCGGGAACCGCTGGAAGAGAAAGCGTTGCTTTCGGTCGCAACGACGGCGACGCTTATGTACTATGCATGTTGGCGCATCACGACACATACGGGACCGTCGCGGGGAAACACTTTAATGGTACACCGTCTGACGGCTAAGACCGGAAACGAGTGGAAGCTGAAATCGGAAGGAGAAAAAGTCCCGGATACTTTGCCGTGGCATCGACAATGCGCGAAGAGAGCACGCAGAGCAGTCGAGTCGACTGGAGTCTCGACGACGAGAGCCGCGCGTGTGTGTACACGCGTGCATGTATGCATGTACACGCGAAAGAGACACTGAACCGTGAGAGAGGAGAGAAGAGAGGAAGGCGTACGTGTACATACGTAGCATGTACGTACATAGCCGTGTACAAGAGGGAAGAGCCAGCCTAGGTTCGAGTTACCCAAACTCCCATTCGATTCGAGCGACAAACTTTGCAAGCAGTTTGATCGTCGGAGTTACAGATTCACCGTAGAACTCTGAACTCCAAATGGGGAATCTATTATCGAAGCAGCGTTTACACGTACACGTTCGTTTACGCGGCTTGCCAACCCAGCCGCTGTCATAGCTGCCGCGATCCACGTCCTGATCGTGGTGTCAACTCGTGCCCGGGAAGTCGTAAGTCTGAGATCGAGACACCGGAGCCGGCTGACGTATCGTTGAAGCTTCATCGGGCAACGTAATAACCTCTGCGCACTCTTCGTCGATCGAACGAACGTGGGGCCAGCCGAAATTAGTCGACGCTGATACCACGCATCGCGCAATCTATTCCTACCGTGCCTTCCCTTCTTCTTCTTCTTCTTCTTCTTCTTCCTTTCCTCTCCTTTCTTTTTTTTTTACGGTCGAAATACCAGTCGCGAAAGCTTCCCGTAATTTTGCGAGAATCCCTGGATAAACGGGGTAAGCTTGAAAGGTGGATGCGGGTTTCCTGGCAGATTCACGACGTAAATACATTTGTCTCTCCTCCTAAGTGGGCTGCTGTCTCTTCGTTGCCGAATAAATGCCAGCCAAATAAAACTTCCTGGCTACACACAAACGCAATTACCGGACGTATTCGAGAAGAAGGGAAGAGGTAGCGAGGCTCGACCGGACGAAAGACGCATTGCCTTTCCACGGCCCGTCCCGTTTCCGCCATTTCCCGAACCTACGATTCAACATTCCGCCGAATTAACCACCCACCCTGCCTTCAGCCCGACCATCCCCGTAACCGTGCGTCTCGATAAGTGGATAAGGAAAGCCCTGAACGCGAAGGGACAAGCTGTCCAACGAGGCATTGCACGGGAGAACTGAGAGACAATAATAGCCAGGGTAATAGCTAATAGCCGGTAACTGCGTCGTTCGTAAGTCGCTTAAACTCATCGGTTGTATCGATGCAGGCATCGCGAAGCGTAACAACGTCCGTAGGCTGCTTTAGAGAAGCGGAGTGCAGTATCTACGCTTCCATCTATCGATCTCGCGTATTCCACGCGTACCTATATCGACTTTGGTTTCCGGGAAAACGCGTAAATAATTGCGAGCCATTTTCGCCCAGAAACATCTTCGGTTACCATCTTCGTAACTTGGCTGATATTCGCCCTTGCTTGTTCCTCGGTTCTCGCTATTCCTTTTTATATCGTATCTCGTATTTCTTTTCTTCGGTATTCCGATGATGCTGCGCTTTTTTATCGCTAAAAACTCCTCCTTTTACGCGTCTCGCGTTGTTTTTTATCGCTAAAATTCCGTGAAAGGAGAACACGGCCAAAGCG